GGTTGATGTTCGAGCCAGAGTCGTTGTCCCCCGTAGGGACAGCTCTATTTCCCTCGGCCGCCGATGATGAGCCACCTTCTGCAGCCCGTATAAGCTCTCCGCTACCACGAACCCCCTCAACCCCAGAGCGTCTCCTCTCCATGAGGACACCCGCCGTAGAAACGGCCTCAACGTTTGGCGTAAGCACAGATTTCGCTTGCAAAGCAACGAATCTTTCCGGCTCAGCATCAACGACAATGGCCTTCCCGATCTCCACCCTTCGTCTTTTCCTCAACGATGTCTCCTCATCATTAGATGGCTCGTCCACGAGTTGAAATGTAGGCTGAGAAGAGATCTCATCCCGCACGGCAACAGTTTGAGGGGCGGAATCCCTCATTGGCGGAATTTGAGTCCGACCTCCTTGAGCAGACTCAGCTAAGGCAAATTGCGTCCCAGCCGACGCGATATCTTGGCGAAATGCAGGCACCGTCGCCTTTCATCTTTTTGGAAACTCGCCGACCTGGCACCAAAGGGAGGTCACATCAAAAAGCGATAGTGAACGGCAATAAGTTGAGGTAGAAATAATACTTACCGGACGGGGTCTTAGGTCTAAAATGCTTGTGAAAGGATGCCCAATCGCGAATTCCCACGGTGTGGGTAACACACGAACCACCCAATCTTTAATATCGAAGACGGGAGAAGGTGCACGTCTCTCAGCTGAAAACAAGGAAGCCACAAGTGAGTCGAATATGAAAGAATGAAAGGAAATAATGAGCATACGGCAAGATACTTACGATTATATTTCCATTGCTCGAACCCAGTCGGATTCGCCACCAAGTGCTCGGTCTTGATGAAGAAGTACTTATGCCAGAACTGCCGGTTCGTCTTATCATCCATCCCGGCCACCAACCCTTTGATCCCACGATACCGCAGATGTATCAATGTACCTCTATAAAAGCTGGGCGAAAATAGATGCAGTAGGTGGCGAACGTTGACCTCACAGCCAGCCAACTCTGCATACTTCGCCAGCATCGGAAAAACTTTGTACAAATAAGGGGAGAGTTGTGCCGGGCAGACGTTGTAAAATTGGCAAAACTCCTCCGCTAACGGGGGGAGAGGAAGAGAATAACCAATTAAGAACGGATAAACGTAGAAAGCACAATATCCGGGCCGATAAACCTCTATGATGTCTCCCCCGGCCGGAACAATTTCGACGTGAGGAGGAATGCGATATTTAGACCGGAGGTCGGCTATTTGATACAGTCCCGTCTCAGAAAGCTTCTGAGAAGGAGTGGGAGCGGGTTCCTTTGGGAGGTCATGTCTGACCAAAGGGTTCTTGGGGACTACCTCTTCCACGGTGGGGAAGCTCTCCTCCTCTTCAACCAGGAATTCCTCACCGCCGGGAGGAAGGGCCACCGATAAAGGAGTGGCATCGGAGACCTCGTCGTGAATATGAGGGGATTTTGACATATTTCCGTAGTGAAACGTATGCAACAAAGTCTGAAGAAGAAGATATCAACTAGGTAAGAAGTCAGGGACTGGAATTGAAGAGGCTGCAAGAAATTAAAAGCGGAGATCGGAGAAGAAGATCAAAGAAGAAAAATACACATGCGAAATGAGAAATGATGAAAAATTTCGAAAATGAAACACCCCCCATCTATTTATGGGGTTGGGTGACACCAGAATCGAAGCAAAGGACCGTCAATGGCACTAAAATCGAAGCGCAGAAGCACAGACACTACATTGGGAAAACGCGTAATGATGAAGCGCGTGGCCATGGCGTCACCCCATGTTAGCCGCGCCAACCGCAGCCCCGCTGGCCACGCCGTTTTTTCGACCTAGGCCGGTTCAATTCAATCAACACGACCAAATTTCTTTTAAACGTTTGCAGACTGGATCCGCTCATCGAGGACGTGCAAGATCACGACCTTAACAAGCGGAGGGACTAAATGTATTGGTCTAAATTTGGACGACTTGACAACTGCAAATAAACATGGTCGAGGACAGAGCCGACCACGACATAATAGCGAGGAGTCGTCTTAAGAAGGATTATTGCCGAGGTCAAGTAAAGGGGGCGAGGAAGCAACAGTAGGAGATGTTTAGTACAATAGACATAAGGAATATTCCATTGGATATTCTTATTGTACTTTTTAGGGTTTCTTAGGGAGATCCCTTATAAATAGGAAGGGATAAAGAACAAAAAAGGGATCTTCACTTTTGATAAGAGCACTTTGTAAAGAATTGACTATAAAGAATATACAAAAGCTTGTCTTGTTCACTGATTATATTGCTCAACACACGTTGTCACACTTTGTTTACAAGATCCAAAGATTCCTTATCCATCATCACTCTCCATTATCCCACGTTGCTGTCAGGGAGAAGAATCACCGATGTCATCTAACATTTGGGTGATAAATTCCTCTTTATTACATTTATTGCAATTGCCTACATTTATTGCATGTCCTTATTGTAACGTTCATTGACAATCATTGAACACGTACCTGATATTTATCATTCTCGAACACAATCTCATCCAACTGATTTCCTTCAATCTTAGATCTAAAATTTATTATGTTTAACTAGGATTCACCCTCTATTTCTTCATCAATTAGTTTAGCAAAAAGCTTAACATTTTTTGGTTAAACAAGGGGAAGAATGAATATGAAAAGGAGAGAGAAGAAACAAAAGAAGTGGTTGATAAGATTTGAACTCTGTACTTAAGTGACACTCGGTAGAAATACAACCTGTAACCCCAACCTCACAACTCATTTATCTTCAAAACCTAGATTCTAATACGAGTTCTTAATCGGCATTTATTCACATCCAGTATGTTTATACCAAAATCATACTAAATAACTATAAGTTAATCATAATACTCCCTTTGTTTAATTTCGAAAAGATTGGCACCATTTTTTTATTACTTTGTTTCAAAAAGATTGATACCTTTCAATATTTTCTTAATAAGAATTATTTATAGCAACACAAATATTATGGCAGGTTTCAGATCACAAGTTTTACCGTCACACAAATCTTATGGTTTATTTAAGACCACATATATGATATCTCAAAAGTCTTACTTTTTTATTAAATTTGTTTCAAGTCAAACTAAGACAATCTTTTTGAACAACATTAAGACTATATATTAAGATATGTTTGGAGTATTCATTTATTGGTATAAACAACATTAAGTATATGTCCTTGTTAATTACCATCACATTTGAGATACTACAACTTACTTTCGTCGTCTCATAAAAAAGAATTGCACTTTGTTAGTTGGAGAATTAAATGGTATTTTCTCTTACACCTTTTCAAAACATCTTAAAAAAATATTTTTAACTATAAATATTTGTGAATTATAGTATCTTAATTTGATTTTTTAAACTTTGTAAGTTTTATTTCATATATATAGAAAAGGAAAGATGGTTGACCAAGGGCATATATGTCATTTCATAAAACTTTCATGTTTGCATTTCTTAAATGCAAAATACACGTGGACCCACATTCCTCTGGCCACAACTCTTCTTTAAATACACTATGCATGTATTGATTAGACCGTTTGTGCAGTGCAAATGCTCATTTCCAATCTTTTTCTCATTTTGGAAAATTATTAATTTTGTTTTATTCAAATAGAAGTTTCTATAGAGAAAATAAAATTAATTTTTAAATAATACAGCAACAAAAAGAAGTATTGATATTTACAAGATTTTCATATTTACCCATACTATCTTAAAGCAATTTGAAAATAAAAATTAAAGGATTTTCATCTATTCATACTATTTGAAGACGATTTCAAACTAAATAATTTTATATTCAAAAGTAATTTTAAAAAATATAGCTTGTTAAACCTCAAAAGTTAACTAACTAAACACCAACAAATAATAATTTTAATAAAATTGCCCCGTATACGGGCCCTTCCTCATCTAGTGTGTATATATATATATATATATATATATAAAAGAATTCTTATATAGAGTTAATAGCCTGTTTGACCAAGCTTCTTTTGGCAAAAAAAAAATGAAAAGTCTTCAAAAGTTAAGTTGTTTGGCCACACTTTTAGAAAGAAAAACAATGCTTTTGAGCAGAAAAAAAAAATATGTTGTCCCTAAAAGCACTTTTTCGAAAATCAATTTTGAGAAAAATATACTTAAAAATACTTTTTAAAAGTTTGGCCAAAATAGTAATTACTGTTCAAAAGTGTTTTTTAAATTAATTAGTCAAACAGAAATTAATTTTCACCAAAAATACTTTTTCTGAAATTCACCTTTTGAAAAAAACACTGATTTTAGAGGTTTTGCCAAATATGCTATTACATGTGTTGATCCTTTGTGTTTGTCAGAAGTCAGAACTCTTGTACTTTAAACCTTGTCACCTTTTTTTTTTTTTTTTTTTTTGGGCACAGATGGAGTATTTTCCTTTTGACTAAATAAAAAGAGGGGAAATACATGAACTGATATCCTTATATAACGATATTGTATCTCAAGTACAACTAGCTAGGGTAACAATGGTTAGGTTTGAGAACAAAAATTCTCAAAACAAAGAGACAAGAAACGAACTTTATGGTTACAGTGTCGGATTTCGTTAGTAGTTTAAAAGATTGTCAATACTCATCTCCCACGTCCTCTTCTTTCCAACAGAACTCATAGTATATTCAAGAAAAGCTTACCACGTTCTAACATCTTAATTACTCTTCACTTTTCATTAATCAGTGTGGTTAATTGTCATGACCCAATGATTAGATTAAGACAGTTAGCCTTCGGTGACTCATTAATGACATAATAAGCTAAGTCCAAGATTGCATTAATCCAATTGAAAGGCTAACATATTTTATTTCATTATTGCATGAACTTGGCCCCTCTTCTTAGTTGTACTTTGCCTGTTGGTTGGCCCCACATTGGAAAAAAAAACCTTTGTAAATTAATCATTTGGAATTATGGAATTCAATTTAAAAAAATCAAGTAAATCTTCAACTAAACATTCTTTCAATTCCTTTGTAACCTTTTCTCGTATAAATGTCCCCAACTTTTCGCTCATTCCAAGTGTGAGATCATCCTCAAAACCTTATTTTGTCACTATATCAGTTGACAATACTATTTAGTAAAGCCACCTCTATTTTTCTTAGTCCTCCAAATTTAGAAACCTATATACACTTAACCGAAAAAATGGAGCAAATGGGAGCTTTTTTTGATGAAGAATGGGAGTCATTAACCAAATTATTCTCAAGTACTGAAACTGCAGATTTCATGCTTCAATTGCATGGCGATCAAGGCAGCTTGTTCGCGATTAATGCTCGCGAAAATGCTGGCTCGAGCTATGAGAATGGTCCTCCACAATTAGGTGATGATCAACATGAAGCTAACAATAACTTTCAGTATTTTTCTCAAGAAAGTAGCATTACTAGCTGTGGAAGTGATGGCATTTTTTTCACTAACAATCCGAGCCACGACATTGATCATGATGTTAATAATCAGCTCCTAGCAATTAACAATCAAACTGATGATCAGTCCATTGATTTCTTTGTTATGGACAACAAAAATAATCTTGAAAATTTGTCTCTTAATTTTCCTGATGATACTAATGACATGGACTCATCCTTATGTAAAGAAGAGATGGTACGTGACCAATTGGACAATGTTGGAATTTCCCCTGTTTTAGGCAAGGAAATTCAACTGAAGAGGAAGTTTGACAAAATTGCACTTCAATCAAGTTCAAAGGAACAAAAATTCAAGGAGGAATTACCTGAGAATCCGAAGAAGAAATCGCGAGGGTCAGCACAAGATGTGAGTTTAATTAAGAAATTTAATAAATTGATCGATTAATATTCTTATACATGAATTTCTAATGGGGTTATGTCATTTACTCATTGCAGGCGCAGAAAAATAAGAAAAAGACACAGCCAAAAGGGAAAAAGAATCAGAAGATAACTGAAATTAACAATGAAGAAGGAGAAGATGAAGAAACTAATAATGCAGCTATTCAAAATGGACAAAGCTCAAGTTGCTGCAGTTCTGAGGATGATTGTAATGGAGGTGCAATATCTTCAAAATCTAAAGGGAAATCAAGAGCCAGTAGAGGAGCTGCTACAGATCCACAAAGCCTTTATGCTAGGGTAATAATTAACACCAGCTTCATTTCATTCACATTTTTTTTTAATTTTAAATTCCCTCCCAATTTAGAAGGATTTATAGCGTTTTCACACTTACCCTCCGCCCTAACTCGAACCCACGATTTATAATGTTAATAAACTAAGATTTTTATTTGCAAAAATTCCAGAGAAGAAGAGAAAAGATCAATGAAAGATTGAGAATCTTGCAGAACCTTGTTCCCAATGGCACTAAGGTAATAATGCTTTTTATTATAATACTTACCCGTTTGTCCATAGATTTTTTTTTTCTTTCTAAAACATATGTGTCCACGAAATTTTGCAAAGTTTTGGAGATTTTTCGAAAATGAGTTTTTCAAACCACCTTTCCAAATTTTTCAAAAAAACTTTCTTCCCCGCTCGCAAAATTGTAATTTTCAACTGAAATGCATGTCCAAACATAATTTTAAATTCCAAATACTATTTTTCATCTAAATACTATTATTTTCAAAAATTATAAGTAATTTTAATTCATCTAAAGAAATGAAGAAATTCAAGAATCCTCTTATTGAGTAGTTTTCTATTTGCTATATAAATCAGGTTGACATTAGCACAATGCTTGAAGAAGCAGTTACTTATGTGAAGTTTTTGCAGCTTCAAATTAAGGTAAATAACAAAGCCCTCACATTTTTATGTGTTTTTTCTTTTCATAAATTTGATTGATTGAATATCGGAAGGAAAATAACATAATTTAATAAATATTTCTTTTCTCGCTGTAGTTATTGAGCTCGGACGAACTCTGGATGTATGCTCCAATTGCTTACCATGGAATGGATATTGGTCTCTATCAAAAGATGATGCCAAGTTTGTAATAACTTTGGAAGCAACATTGCCTTGCAATTTTTTATTAGTTGTTACCTTGAAATAACAGATACAACAGAAACCACCCAAGTATGTTGACTATGTAAAAAAGCATCTATCATTTCTTGATCATGAGGAGTAATTCTCATGTTTTATAAAGTAACCATTAATTAATGAATTAAGTTGAGAATATCTGTCAACTATATGTATGTAAAGACCGATATTACGTCTTTATTAGATTAATGTAAACATTGGGTAGGAGCAAATTTTTTCCGGATATAAGCGTCTATAAATCAGGAAATTAAAATAAGAGGATTTCTTTTCTCTTTTGTTTCTACCTTGTTCTCTTGAGAACTGATAGACAATAGGATTACGCATAAACAATTTGAAATATCAAAATAAATCAAATATTATTATCCTTGTTTATTGGCTATTTGGCTGAAAGCCACATTGGCAAGAAGGGAAGAACGTTAAGGCATGCAATTAGTGTGCATTTTGCAACGAATATACATCAATGCATTACCAATCTTAAAAGCGATAATATGAGAAATTCAAGTTTCAGATATTGTCCATAGACATGCCAGTAGATTTGCTTTAATAAAGAAAAACTCAACTTCCAAGATTAAAAATTAGACAAGTGTTCAATGTATTATAAATACAAGATCGGCAAAAAGGCTCAAATGTAAGTAGTAAGTAGATAAATCCTCCGGTCATCGAGTATGCTATCGACTTTTCACATGTATTATGATAATATCGCTCATCTTTTGATGCTTATGGAGCACCTTATCATACACAACGAGCCACCAGAGTCTTTATAAAAGCTCTAGCATAAAATTATCTAAAGATTCACTTATTTGCACTTAATGGACATTTCAATCTAAGCCAGCTCTGGTAACTGGGCGGGGCCAGTACCGAGAGCGGCTCGGGACAGCGGGCTAAACGGGCTGGGATTGTTTGGCCCGCAATTGATGGGCTCGTGCCGGTCTCGTGGCCAGGTTTTTGCCGTTGGGACTGTTTGGCCCGCTAAGGGACCGGACCAGTCCCTTGGCAGGCCAAAAGGGCCCAGCAATTTTTTTTTTAAAAAAAGATAGCCGTTGGCTTTTTTTTAAAAAAAAATAAAAAATAAGAGCCACTGACTTTAAAAAAAATTAGCCATTGGCTCTTCAATAAATAGCCATTTAACACTACCCCCCCCCCCCCCCCACCCTCCTCCCAACTAATTTTTAACTCCAAAACTTTTTATAATTACACTTTTTTCTTATTTTTTACTATAAATACCCCTCATTCTTTCATTTTTCTTACAAAATCAATATCAATATATCAAATCTCTCTCTAATTTTCTTCAATACTTGCTACAATTGTTTGCTTTATAAAAAAAATAGTCAAAAAATTATGAGGTTGCTACTATTGCTTACTTTATTCAAAAAAAAAATAATCAAAAAATATTGAGGTTGTTAGAATTTGTGAAAAAATTGTGAAGCTGGTGAATTAAAGTCTTCAAAAATAATAAATTTTCAACAAGTTGTTCGTCAATTCAGTAAACTCGTTCCAATTCTTAGGTCTTAATATTAAACTTTTGTTTGTTTTATTTAGTTTCTATTACTTGATTAATTAAGATGTCTTCCTTAAGAAATATTTTTGATAAAAGTAAGAATAAGGTAAAATCTAAGACTAGCGAATCTAGTGGTACCGTTCCTCCTCCTCTGCCCCGGGCTCCTCAATCCAAACTCTGTAGCCATCCTACACTTGCTATTCTTGATACCGATAATAGTTTATTACAATTTATCGACACTGAATTTTGCCATAATATTGCACTTGGTGATTTTTGGACCATGAACTAATGAATGCTCTCTACACAAAAATTATCATACTATTAATGAAAATGATGATGAGAAAATTAATTTTGATGAAACTCAATCGGACGATGATACAACCACTAGTCATGCTCATGTTGTTGACCCAGCTAGTGATAACGCTGCTAATACTAATGATGACCCAATTGATACTCGCGTTACTGTCGCGTCCTCTTTTTTCTCGCGGAGTCCGGATTTCGATATTTTTGGGAACAACTCATTTCCTTTTGGGAATTGGGTATGGATTTGAAGAGTCGCCACCTAACGGATTTAAGGTGCGTTAGGGCACCTAAAGCAAATAACTCATAAACCGATTTGCATTACCAGAGATTGGGTAAGGGCTCGAAATAACCTTGAGGGAAAGGTGTTAGGCACCCCTCGAGGTCCACAACGGTGGGTCCCGGCCAAACTCAAATTAGGTGAATTAGTCTTATAAGCAAACAAAGCAATTTAGACAGTTAGATATTACGTTTAAAACAAGGGGTAAAAAGGGTCCTAGGTTTTTTAGCCTATAAGATCACTTCTGCAATGCTTGGTAATCGTCCCCAAATTGGGGTGCTACACATAGCATTAGCGCAAAGGTCATCATATCCATTACTACACGATTACCCTCCCCTTAATGGTGATATAAGCGATTCTAGTTAAACGTACTCTGTGCGTGCATTACCCGTCCCTTACTTATGGTCTTGGAGGTGCTTAGGACTTCTAGATAAGGTGGATCTAGACTCTCCTATAGTGCTTAAAAGGAGAAAATCTAAGCGACAAGCAAAACAAATAGGACTGTCAGATAAAGGAACAGTTAAAGACTCACATTTTACCTCCACAAATAAGCAGGCAATTGCACATCTCAAACAACAGTATTCCAGACACTTTAAAAGTCCCATAGCAGGATATCTAGGTGAGCACACAACAGAAAATATGCAGTGTTTTTATTAAAGCGAGGCAGAAGGTACTTAATCAGTTGCCTACTAATTTTAGGACTTGGTAAACCTGGGCAGTTCACAAACAATTAAACAAAGCACAATTTTATAATTTCAAGATCTTAGTCGTCCTATAGGCTTGCCTAGGCGTGGATCAGAGATGTCCTATAAACATGATATCTAATCGTTAATCAGAACCGCAATAAACCAATAAACGATTTTAAGCAGGCAGTTTGGTTCATTAGGTCCTAGAGGTATGCTGTCTAGGTGTTGAAAATAATCACAAACGTTACGAAACTAATATTATATATAAGTCTGATAACAAGGTGTTGGGATTGCTTTTATACGTGTTTCCTATAGGCATGATTGCTACTGAAGAAACTGATTTTATACGATTTGACTGCAGGTATGATTTCAAGGTGAGTGCAATAAAAGTCCTAGAACATGGTTTCTAATGCACATAGGAGAATTTATGAACATGATTGTTAAGGCTGAATTAACAACAACCTAGGGACAGGATTTCTAGCGCGGATGTGACCATGCATAAATAGAAATTTAGAGCAAATAACATGATGAACCTATAAGCATGTTTTCTAATGCACGCAATAACCTATAGGCGTGGTTTCTAGTGCAGGTAGATAATCATAATAGTCCTAAGAGCATGATTTCTACCTGATTTCCCGACAAAACATATATAAAAGTCCCTCCCATTTTACTAATATCCCCAATATCTGTTTTACAAGAATTGTTATTACAGACCAAAGATTATAGAAATGAGACTGCTAAACTATATGGAGCCTGGATAGGCCCAAAAAGTAAACCTGAAAAAACCAGGCCTTCAACCAAGTATGAACATGCCAATAATAGTGCACCCAATACTATCCTGGTGTGTCAAAGTTCCCAAGGGCCTCAGGGACCCCGGGCAATGCTCAAACCAGAAAACTTTTAAAGAAACACTTTGTGAGCAAGTTTTGGAGAGCCAGCCCCAGTGTGTCAAAGTTCAGAGGAGTCTCATGGACTCCTAGGCAATGCTCACACTAAAGGGGCAAGACCTTAGATATTCTAAGAGTAGGAGCTGAAAACAGGAGATAGTTTTAAGAAAATAGTTTTGGGTTTTCTGGGGTCAGTAGGAGCAAACAGAGTCATTCAACCCTTGGAATTCAAACAAAGGTCCCAGCAATCAAACAGTATAGAGAAACAGGATCACAACTATTTCAAACAAGGTTTCACATTGCCCAGATTTGACTTGGTTTACTGGTTGTTACTAGGTGGGTATAAAGACAGGTTTTAAACAGGGAAATGGCATGCTGGGGTCAGATTACCAATCAGACAGTCATATATGAAGGGTAGCAGGGGTTGAGAGCATGGAAATCATTAATCAGAAGCCTGTTAGGGGTGATTATTCACAACAAGACAGAAACAACATGCCAGTCGAGAAATAAGTAGACATAGGTCTAATGTACATATAAGCAAACATGTAGACATGCTGAAAGCAGGAAACACATAGGTTAAACAGAAGTAGACATGCTAATTACAAGGAAACACATAGGTTTTAATTAAACAGAAGTAGACAGGCTGATTACAAGGAAACACATAGGTTAAACAAAAGTAGACATGCCGGTTATAAGGAAAAACATAGGCTTAATTGAATAGCAGTAAACATGCTGATTAGGAACAATAACATAAAGCACATGGATCTAATGAGATAAAAGTAGACATGCTGATTAAGGAAACACACAGATTTAATCACATAGAGGTAGAATGATAGCAGAAGTGGAGACATACCAATTAAGAGATAGCAAGAGGAAAGTAAAGCAAACATGATCCAAGGGTCTAGCCTTGGCTTTCAGCTGGCTAGATAGTGCAACAAACAAAGAGTAGGAAGAATGTGATGGAGGATAAGAGCAAAAACTTTTGTATTTCTCTATGGATGTGCGCGTGTGTGTTAAAGAAAAAGAGTGAGGCTTATATAGAATTGAGTAGAGTAAAGTAAATAAGATAAAGCAGTTTAAAGGTTTGCAAATAAGGCAAAGAAAATAATCAGTCAATCAATTAGGCAAAAATCATGGGATTATATCCAAAAATAACTCGAAATTGAGGTCTAAATAAGGTAAGTGGTAAGTCTGATAGCCAATTAGAGTCAGAACACCAAAAATCCGGCAAGTAACAGGGCAATTAGTCACAAATAAGGTAACACAAGTAAATAAAGACCAATTTAGGGGTTGGTAAGGCAGTCAGCCCATAAATTAAGCTTAATAGGAACAATTAAGGCAAGTAGTACCAATTAGGAGTCCCAAAATAAGGAAAGTAGACAAAATTACAGGAAGTAATCACCTCAGTAAACAAAGCAAATTTCAAACCCTAAACAGTTTAGGTAATCAATCAATTACTCATGAATAACGGGCAAATATTGAGGTGAGTAATGAAATA